TGTCTGTAGTAAAGATTCCTTTCAAGCCTTTCCTCTGCCCTCCCTGCCTATTTTCAGTATCAGCTCTTCTCATCACAGCATGACCATGAGTTTGGTTTCTTGTCAGTTTATAAATCCTAGGTCTCACTTAGTCACTGTCTTGCTGGGTTTTAAAAGTATTAGAAATAGTAACATTTTGTTTAAATGGTCCGTGGTGTCAAACTATTGATAGTCTTTTCTAAGTCTGTCCTCTTTCATGTTTCCTGTTGCCTTGTTCTTCGTGCCATCTGTAAAAGCCTTTGGTAATGATCAGTCTTCACAGTTGCGATGGAAATTATGTCACATTTGAAATAATGCTGCAGAACTGATCAAAATTACCTCCATTCAGTGAGGTAAGGCTAAATGCTCTTTGAAATCCGTGATGAATTGCTATCAATCCATTTGATACCTCTCTGCTGGTAGTAGCAAGCTGTCAGATTTTTGATTAGCAAAGGAAAGGCTAAAAATCCTAAACTTCGCAAAGTATAGTACAGTTCACCCTTTGCCTTTAGCAGCCAAATCCTTGATTTCATAAAAGAATGAAATCATACAAACTGCCAGCAATAGGGAACAGGTAATTCAGTTAGGCTGACTCTTCTGGAGCTTAAATTTTCATTTCAGAACAATATTCTTTCCAAATATAATTTAATAAAATTAGCACAACAATTTAAAACAATTTAACAAGTGATATTCTGATGGTATCAAAATCTGTTATTAATTTAAACTAATGTATTGGATCAATTTCATTGATGTGTACTTTTAAAAAATATTTTCATTCTTGTTTAGAATGAACTATGAAGAAATTTTAAAAACAATCTGAAAAGGAGCCAATTTTATATGACATTTCTTAATACACTCTTCCTGTTATGTAAGATGCTGTTCAGTTCAATGAATATAAGAACAAAAATGTATTAGTGGTAAAATGTTTTCTTCCACATTAGACTAAGTGGAGGATTATAAGGTTTCTCTTTTCCCTTAGGAATCAATCTACATATCTGTAACACAACCTCTTCTTAAAAATTCTTGAATGTAGAAAATTATTCAGTTCACTGGAAGCATGAAAGATAATTTTAAAAGAAATACAGGATTGGCTCTTTGAGATCCTGTTGATATCAGTTGGTCTCAGTAAATTACTTCAGAAACAATGAAGTTAAGATAAATACATAGAAAAAGTGCATCTGGAGAGGGTAAGAGAGAGCATCTCCCAGAGTTTTATCAGAGTATGTTTCTGGTTTTGATAAGTGCAAGTTCATAGTTAAAGCTGCAGCTTTAGTCGGGAGATTTTGTTCTGTGAAACTGTCACAAGAATCTACCATTTTGCGTACAGTCAGCACTCAATTTTAAAGAAAAAAAGTCATGAGAGAAGAGGAAAGGAGAAAAAAGCCTTTTTGTTCCAAGGACAAATAGAATTTTTTTTCCACTTCAGCCAACTATTTTACCTCCAGAAATATCTTCTGAGACCTCAGAGGAAAAGCTAATCTCAAAAGAAAAGGTTTGGGGTTGGGGTAGATTCTGGTAATACCAAGAACCACACAGCTGTAGGACTTTCCTCAGGTGAGGTCAGATAACTTTACCCGGTATCTGTAACCCCATTTCATGCTTCCCCTCCTCCTCCATAGGAGAGGACTGTGCTTCCCACCCAGTGCCTGTATTTCCCACCTCTACGAGGCAATGTGATGCCCTCTTTTTCTCTTACTCTCTCCCCAGGAATGGCAGCAGCCACAGGACAGGATTACATCCTATGTGCCATCGTTCAGCAGGGACTGTCCATCCACCCAGCTGGCTGCAGAGCCCCTTGGGATGTGCACATGCTGTACAGCTGAGCCAGACACAGGGACAGCTCCTGCAAGCCACCCACACTGGGAGAGCCAACTCCCACAGGCAGGAACAGAGTGCCAGTCCATTGTATACTCAACACAGAGCATTTCATTAAAAGTGACCACTCCACGTGTATCTGAGGAGCCCAGGGTGCTTACAATCCACCTGGTCTTTCTCTGTTACAATCTTTAGTGATAATACCTTGTCTTTTCAATCTAACTGTTGCTGTGTCTTTAAAGACAGTGAATGCCAGTGTCTCCACTTTACATGTGAGGAAACCATGAAGTGACCTCATCAGCCCAGGAAAAAGTGTAGAAGCCTGATTGTAAAACCAAGAGAAGAATCAAAGTCTCCTGATAACTGGCTTAAGAGGCCAGGCTGTCAACACTGTGCTAAAGGACCATTCCCAATCAGACTTCAACACAAACCTCTCCTCACAGGACCTGTATCAAACTCAGCTACTTTTCTGTCAGGAGTTTATACATGTGATTGAAGTGGCATTCCCCTGTTAATTTTTTACCTCTGAGTAAACTCTGAGCTTTCCCTCTCAGCAGAAAAACATCCCACCAGGCCTGTAAGAGATTTCATTCACCCAGCACAAGCTGCTGAGATGCTGACTCATTGGTGTCCATGAGCTTCTTTAGCAGCCCTTATGCAGAAGTAGCAAATCCAGTCCTGTAGTGGTATTAAAGCAAGGAATTGGCCAAGGCCTGCCTATGCCACAGGCTATGGCTGAATTTGAGCCTGTTTCTGGGGCATGTCAAGATTCTGGATTCTCCTAAATCTACCACAACACTGACACTTCAACACTTTGGCTGAAAGTCTCAGAACACCAGGGGTCTTTTTTTTTATCACCCAAAAAGTGACCCAGTGTCAGATGTGGAGTGTCAGGCAGTTGAGCTATATTATTATTGTAGTAATTCCAACTGAACTATTCTAACAATATTAGATAATGTTTGTTTTATTACATTTATTATATTTCATTTAATGAAGGGAGAAGAGTCATGCTTGCTTGCCTGCCTGCCTGCCTGCCTGCCTGCCCAGAGGGACAGGAGGAGGAGAGCAGATCTGGAGTTCAGAGTTGAGAAATGACTGCAAAGGGCCTCAGACAAAGCCTGTACTCAGCTGGAAGGTAAAAAAAGATACATATATATAGATATATATATATATATATACAGATGTATATCCCCATTCCACAGCTGGAGGGGGGGGTGTGTTGTGGGATGGGTGGGGGACTGGATCTGCTTCTCCCTTACCATCTTCTCTCACAAACTTCCCATAGACCTTGTCTTTCCTCACAAAAGTACATCACTGCAATGCATTGTTCATGGGTCATTATAATCCATCCTGAGACGTGCAGAGAGTATATGTGAGGAAAAAATGGAGGGAGATGAGAGGTTTGGACAAAAATGAAGAAAATAAACCTTTTGCATAAACATTTGAAATATTTCAAGGCTATAAGAAATGTTTAAAACTGTTGGCTTGTATATGCCTGCACTTCAGCTAATGATTCTATCAGTGTTTAAGGCATTTGCCACACAGAAAAGCCAGGAGAGAATGATAACAAAAAGAAAATAAGAAGTAAAAAAATACCAACGGGTGTTTTGTAATACTTATTTATTTTTTATCATGGAATCAAGAGATGGGCCAAGAGAAAATTCAAGGAAAGGCTAATGCAGGAACTAGAAGGAAAGTGAGCAATAGCTATATAGAGACTCACAAAAATAGTCTTAGGAGGGTAGCAGAAGGAGAGAAAAAAGCAAATATATATGCACCAGTGCATATATATGCCAACTTCTAGGTCTAAGTTTGGATTTCCTTCTGCTGCCCAGGCCAGTTAATCAGCTATCTTTGTTACTGACTGATGATGCCTTAGAAAATCTCTGCCTTTGCAACTGTGTGACTGTCAAGTATGGAGTCTCTTTTCTTAAAGGAGAAATACAAAAGGAAATTAAATCTCTACCGTGAAAGAAGGACAAAAGGGCATGCAGGGGTATAAAAATCACAATATCACAAACTAGAGCCAACCACATTTTTAAACTGGTGACAGACAGTTCTTTATTGCATTGACTAGTAAATGAAATTTTATTCTCATTATTCAAGAGTATTCACCTGATCATAACTCGTCTTTTGGAAGTACCTTATCAACAACTTCAGAGGTTCTCATGACTTCCTCTTACATCAAGTCTGACAGTTACTTCATCATTCTGCAATTGCTTGACCCTTATCATGCATGCTTTACAAAAGAGAGTCCCTTCCAACACCTCAATTTTTTCATGTACAAGCTGATTTCATTGGAGAAATGAACATTCCACAGTTCTGGGATTCTTTTTCCCAGAAATTTTATCAGAATTTAAACAGGCTATGCAAAGACTCCAAAAAGTTGCGTGATTATCACGCTGCTGAACAACACTGTCCAAGCATGCCTATAGATTGCAAATGAAAAGGATAAAAAGGGAGAGGAAGCACAGTGCAGGCTAAAATATACACCAATACACAAGAGTGAATGCAAGCATAAGTGCATAAGTGCATTTCACTAAGTGGTTTAGTTTGAAACCTTCACTAACACACACAGAGCTTTCTCCTCTTTCCTGAAAAGCAATGGAAAAGATACTTCAGCACCTTCTCTGCTTTCTTCTAACAACTGGGGTTAAACTCTGCTGAGCAGAGAAAAAACATCCCTTGCTTTATATTAAGCCATTCCTCCTATCTTTATCATTTCCTGGCTTTCCCTCCTTGTTAAACAAAACGTTAGGTGCCCAAGCAGCGATGTCCTGATGTGTCCACATGACACATAAGCTGTCCCTCAGGGTCTCCTCACAGCGGAAATAAAAGCTGCCTTGTAGAAGTTTCCTTCTTTCACTCCAGCCTTTTTCCCTCGGATGCCAGCAGCGTCTCATCCCTAGAGGGCAGCCAATGAACACAGCTCCAGGCACAAAGCGCTTTCCCTCAGGCTGCAGGATTTATCACATTTAACCAGCTTGTCCCTTCTGTGTCTAACACAAGTCCAGGCAAACCACTGTGACTGACAAGATTTGGGTCATTTCAGTTGCTTTTTTCCAGTTCCTCATGGTGGAGCTTCCGTAATCCACCCACTCCCCCACCCTGCCAAACTTGGGGACAGTGTTTTGCACCTCTTCCAACCAGTCCCCAAAACCTCTTACCTTACGATGACAAACATGACCAGGGAGTTTCCCACCAAGCCCACGACGAAGACCACCGAGTAGACAGCAGTGATGATGATGGGAATGGCAGGGGAGATGCTGGTGTTGTTGTGCTGGCCGTCCCCAAATGCCCCAGTGGCATTGCTGTCATAGTCTGCCCAGCCCGGGAGCCAGCTGCTGCTGGTGCTGGCGGGTCGGCAGGGCCCTGGGGAGCAGGTGGAGTCTGGCTCCTCACGGAAAATCTGTATGGGGGCATCCATAGGGGTACAGTCCCCACAGGCAGGAGGGAAACCCGGAGGAAAGTGCACCCAGCAGGAGGCAAGTAAGCTGGAAAGAGGGAAGAGAGAGAAAGAAACAGAAGTATTTTCACTGCCACGGAACATTAAGACCTCTGAAACTTGTATGTGTTAAGGGGAGCTCTGCTGTGACGGGAACAGTAATTTGCCAAGCAGAGATTTAAGCAAATCACATTCATATTAAATGATTGCAAGTTTTACATCTTGCTATGTAATTTTGCTTCTCCAAGTGCACAAGGAAAGTTTTCCTCCACTTTCAAAGGCTGCACAGTGAAGCAAGCCAGATGGGAACAGCTCAGATCCACCCCCACACTTTAACCCTGTCTTTTCCCATCTTTCATATTTTAAGTCAAACTCTATCCTAACAGGGGCTCCTCATTGCCTGAGCTCTGCTATAAAGGGAAAGGAGACAGAGAAATCCACCACCTCTCTGCACACCTGCTTTAGCATCCTACCCTGAGTTATTTTTTCCTGATCTCATACCTGCTTTCATGGAAAAGACACATTAATGACAAAAAATACCTTTCAGTCCAGGAAAAGAAGCGGAGTCCTCAAACAGGTGCTCTTTGCAGGAAAAGAAAAGAATAAAGCCGCTGTGCTTGGCTCCTGGAAGTGCCACTGACCACCTAGGACTTTTGAATGTGAGGTACCTGCGCCCTCAGAGAGGCGTGCTGGCAGCAGAGCCGGTTCCCAGGCGTGAGCTGCTCCGTGCAGCAGCAGCAGCAGTTGCTGCTGTTCCAGCTCCCACCACTTCGCCTTTTCTCTCTCAGGCTCCCTCTGCCTCCCTCTTGCTCTGCCAGGGCTCCAGCAGCACTCTGCACTGATGCACACGTTCTCCACTGTCTCTGTCCCCGCATCTCAGAAGCTCACATGACTTCTTTCTAAACACTGAGATGCGGATAAATTAAAAGAAAAGCAAGAAATAAGTTCTGTTATGAATGAATGCTTATTATCATACACTTTTACAAGTTGTCTTTTCTCAATTCCCCTGCACTCCCAGGCCTCAAGAAATAATCCTCTTTACCTTATTGAATCCCACAGGATTTCAGACTATTAGACACTGAATAAAAGAGGAATTTTAGGTTTAGATGCCTTGCCTGGTCCATCAGCTCTTTCATGTCTCAACTCCACAACTGTGTTTCCAAAACATTTCTCATTGTGTCCCTGTTCCTTTACACCTGCACCTCCAAAGTCAGAAGCTGGCTACTAAAGAAAAGGGGGGCACCTTAATTTCTATACATTTTTTTCAAGCTGTCCCACACCATGTGAGAAGCCCAGAATTCCCAGTAGCACTCCATTCTCCCAGCTGCAGCCAGAAACAGGGATGTGGTGTGTACAGAATCACATCCCTCAGAGCTTATCCCTGATATACTCCCTCAAGCAGGTGTTGGCAAGGCACCAATATGTGTCCAAGTATCCTTTAACTTGCATACAGACCTTGAAATCCCCACCAGAACTCTTTCTAAATGGCAAACTGGGAGTGAAAAGGCAGGACCCTGAGTTATTCCTACTCCTTCAGAAGAGGCTGGGATCAGCCAGACAGGCTGCCTCTCAAATGTGCAGCAAGAAAACCAGACTCTGGAGAAAGAGAGAGGCTGTGGATTTCCTTCAGGCTTTTCCAATCTTGAAATTTTACTTCATGTTCCTCTTGTTGAGTGTCTGTGATATGACTGAGTTTTCTATTCAAAACCACTTTTTTTCTAAACGTATAATCAAGAGACTAAATTATGTCAGCTCTGAGTGAGAAGTCATGTAGGAGGCTTAAAAGGTACAGAAACCCCTCTCTTAGAATAAAAGGCTTGTTCAAATGTGATAATGGCTTTAACTGTGGTCACTTCTCCAGAACTTCAGTAATTGCTCATGATCATGTGTATAGAGCTGTCTAAAATTTTCACATTTAATGATGATGCATAGAACTGCAAAATAACAGATGTGTGACAGAAATGTCCTTGAGATGGGGACACAAACCTGAGAAGTAATCATTTCTCTGAGGATGAAGTAGATCCTATCATAAAATATACTCCAATTCCGTTTTTATCCTCTGCAATCCATAGTCTCCTGCCCATGTACTGAAGGGAAATACTGTTGCTTCTTCTCATAAATAGTTTTACTGGCGATTTTCAACTTCTTATTCACATCTTCCCCAGAATTTTCTACATTCTGCAATTAAAACATACAGGAAAAATTTAAGATAGCAATGTTTCAGCACTCGTTGATAATTTAACTCTTATGATAAATCATTTTGTCACTCTGAAACTGCTACAGTTGGACCCAGAGCTTCCACAGGAGAAAGAAAATCTCTTATTGCTCTGAGTAAGTCTACAGCACAGATGATACATAAAGGGTAAGATAAATAGCATACTCACAGCTTCTTCAAACACTAATGGTTAGACAGTAAGCTGCTCATTCTCTAGCTAAATTTTTGCTGCAACTCTCCATGGATTTTAGAGTTAGCACAAAAAAAGGTGTGCTCAAAGTTGTAGTCTCTGGCCCTTCATGGAATTTGCACTGTAGCTACATGGGACTGGAATGAGGTGAAGTTTGACCACAACACTGCAAATTACAGGTTGAGCCAGAGGCTATGTTTAAGTTGCCTGATGCTTTCTGTTTATGTGTGTTCCATGTTGGAGGCCCAGCTTTGGCACTTGGTTGCTGTAGGATTTGGTGATGCAGTAGAAAGAAAGTACTTGGCTAAGAGAAATGGGATGTCTTCTGAAAGTCAAATCAAAAGCATATGCATTATTTAAAAAAAAATAATATTTTCCTTTCTTGCATTGGCTTTGCTAATGACAACATGAATATCAGGATTATCAGCAACAACTGGTCTCACTGCAGGTACCAGAAACAAACGCCATGATATCAAAAGAAAAACTAAAGCAGAGGGAAAACCAGTGTGCATCACCATCTTCCTCTCCTTCAATACCTAACTGCACAGTGCCTCTGCACCCTTCCCAACAGTCCTGTGCAAAGGAGCAGGAGTCTCCTGGAGTCTTGAGGGCAGAGAAAGGCAGGTGACCTAATCCAGACTGCCCACACACCAGTGTCAGAAACCCCTGCCCTCTCTAAGGGCTTACATCAGACAGAAGGCCTTGCTTTCAAAGGAAAGAAAGGAAATACTCAGAGAAGAAAGACAGCATAAAAAAAACATTGTCTCACCACTCAGCTGCCAGTTTCCTCCAGGAATGTTCTTACAAACATGTGGCTTGCATGCCTCCCAACTTTTTTTCTGTAATACTTTAGAACCAATAAGTGTTCACCTCACTGGACTTTGGGAAGCACAACAGAAACCACTTGGACGTTTTAAATTAAGAATACAAAACTATATATCAAATTCCATAATTATAGAATGTTGTTTAAGTTGTAAATGCCAGCCCTCAAAAGTGAAAAAAATATCACATTCAGCTGCCTGATACCTAAGAACTACAACATGTGCATTTACACAATTTTTTATTTTCCTCAGGCTCTCTGCCTCAATCAAAAATCAGCTACACAATATAAGTGGAAGGGCAAACATAAACCAGAAATTTTGTATCTGTAAAGTGTTTTCTTTTGCAATCCTAGTGAAATTCTTTGAATGAATAAGAAATGGGGGGAGGGAAATATGTGATAATTAGCAATAGCAGGTAGGAATTGCTTCAGCACTGTGTTTTTTCTTACCACAAGTTAAAGAGCTGCCCCCACCAGCACAGTGTTTTAAAACCTTAAAGATGTGGTGGGACATTAATTCAGCCCTGACTCAGAGGTAAGAATGAACAGCTTTGAATCACTGGCACGACTGTGCAGCACCATGCCATCTGCTCACTGTGCTGCAGCACAAACCCAGCTCCATCACCTCAGCACACTCAGGCTTTGAGTGAAAGCTGTTCAGTTCCTGACACTGTTTTCTAGAAAACCATCATACTTTATGAGTTTCAGTCAAATGCAGGATAGAACAGGCTTTGAGGTTCAGCCACAAGCTGTAACACTGGACACTTTGGAACAGGATCATTTCCAGAGATCACCTGTTCTAGAGGCTGAAGAACACATGAGTTAAGCAGAGCACACTATCAAGATGCTTTTTCAGCTAATATTTGTTTTTACTATGTGATTGACCAAAGCTACAATGATAGTGAACCTGTATAAAGGTAGGAGATGCTGGAAACACTTTCTGGTGGCTCCAGTTGCCAAGGAAACAAAATTATCTTGTCTCTCTGCATCCAGAAATGTTAGCTCTCTGTGTGAACACAGCTCTCAGGAAATGGTGTGTTTTATGTTCTTCAAAAGTCCTCCAAGGGGGAAAAAAGAGAAGAGAAAGTATATCCAATGCTACTCAAACAGCTTTTGTACACATATTTTGCTCACAGCAGACTAAATATTTAGCATAAGACTAGTGCTATGCTTTTACTTGTCAATAACAGAAGTTCACGTTACATATTGAAAAAAATTACTGGTACAGACCTCCATTGTGACCTTCAGAAAACAACCCAATAAAGTCCTGAGCACTGGGATAGCTTCTGTCCCAAGACATGTCCTCCTCCACAGAAAAGTCTCTGGGTGGTTATGAGGGGACCAGCCACCCTCAAACTGCTGCAGGGAGAGATTGGGGCAGGCATTGAAAGGTTTCTGACCCTAGGACTTTAAAAATGAGGGGAGTTAAACAGACAAGAGCTAACTGGCACTGAGGAGCTCAGTGGCTGGGATTAAGGAGTTCAGAGGATCCCAGCAGGAGCTGGGAGCAAGGCCATCTGCCTTGCTCTTCTGTCACCCTGCTGACACCTCTGCTGTCTCCCCACAGCTGCACTCCTGTCCACAGCTGGCCATGGCACACATGCCAGGACCCTGGAGCAGAGGCAGAATTGCCAAAACAGGTCACCACTTTGCCATCTTCCCTGCATTTCATCTCACCAAGATCCTCAGCTGGAAGTTTTATAACCTTCTCACTTTTCTGGAGCAAGCTAGAGCTGTGACTCCAAAGGAAACAAAAG